TTGATTCCAATTCACTGAAAACGTCAAATGTAGGCAAGTTCCCCTGGAATTGATTTCTTGGGGACTGGACTCAAGTTTAGAAAGAGAAAGAAAACTTTGTCGTCGATTGTTCTCGTCCTCCATAAAATGTGAAAGTAGACACTTTCATGGCATAGTCGTGCAGGAAAGAAATGTACAAAAAAGTATGCTGTACCTGCAATGTTACTACATTTTGCTCAATAAACCTATTGCTTTTTTTACATTCTCATTGCTGGCATCATCTTCCTTGCTAGACCTTCCCAATTTTTTCAGAGTTTACCCTTTTATAATACCAGTATGTAACAAAGCTTAGAGACATCCACAACACATAAAAGCTACTGCTGTATCCCTGATAACGATAATTACCTCAGCAGCTGGAGCAATGGGCCTACTGGGAGTTAAAGGTTGGCTCAATCCACTGTCCTCCATGAATGACAATGATCCCTGTTAAATAAATAAGTAATACAGGAATCATTTATAACTTTATGCCTTGCTTCATGCTTTGTCAAGTGAAGCAAAACAATGAGTAACTGACCAGACATTAATACTAATTTTTAAACAGACCTTAAAAACAGAAACATTAACACAAGATTTTAAACCAGAAGAGGGTATGAAACTTTAAAAATCATTATTGACAGTTGTAAGTTTAAAGAAAAAAACAGTAAATATATTAATAAAAGTACAAAGTACCAGTGTGGAGTAGGCTGACATTGGCGGCACTCGAGAAGACAGGGGTCCATGTGGAATTCCTTCACTAATGAACGAAATCTCCTACAACAAGAATATACACTCTTCTGTAAACCTGCATGTACAACATCCAACAATAATATAATTCTTAAGGTCTAGAATTAACTTGTGAGACAGTATGCATGTACCCACAAATGGTATAAACACCTTTTTTCCTTCCTTTCTTTCTCACAACAAAATTTTTTTCAGTTCAGTAAAAGAGTTGAGATGATCAATGAGGAACATAACATCTCCAAAATATTAATGTGTTTAGTATTATTTTTAGTATTTACCTGATTAGTAACATCTGTCTCTGCAATTGAAGAAGTACCACTTGGGGTATCTAAATTTAACAAGACAACAAGATTTATCCCATTGGTTCATAATATAAAACTAATTTTGAATAAAAGGGTTTAAATAGAATTTGTCACAGACTGTATCATAAACATAATAAAAAAATGCTGTGTGCATCTGATAATTAACACATGTAAATTACTAACTCTTAATTTAATTTACCTTGTACATCATTACCACACATGTACATGAATAATACAGTGTGTAGCCATACTTACATGCACTGTGCCTGAGTGCTGATATGGGCTGCTGGCGGAGTGGTGTTGGAGTGCCAACAGTCCTTAAAAGTGATGATGCTGTATGTAATGGCTGTCGTGGAGTGGCAATAGCCTCATCCAATAGGTGAAGAGCTGGTTCAGCATTAAGGAATATGAAACATAGCCTTGCAATATTTTCAAGCAATTGTTCCTCTTACCTGTCCAACAGGAGGAGGTTATAAAATTCACGGCAAATTACGAGAATAATAATGATTAGTATGTTATCAATGTACAAACAAATAACACACAATTTGTTATGTAACTTTTTTAGGCATTGGATGAATTTACATCACCAAGAAAGAGAGAGAGAGAGATAATGGTTGTTCAAGGTAATGAACAAAAAAACATGACATACAAAAGTCATGTTAGAGGTCAAAATTAAGTCCAGGTTAAAATTTTTTAACCTAGGTTGATCCTCAATTTCGTTTGTCACGAGACTGAAGAAATTGAGAATCAACCTAGATTAAAAAATTTTCACCTGAATTTAATTCTGACCTGTAACATACACACCTTCAAAACTGTAAAAATAAGGCTAGGCAAACAAAGGAAGAAGAAACCAGCTGACAACACAAACAAGACACAAACAACAAAAAACTCACTCTACCCAGCAAGCAGCTGTTTCTCCACCAGACACTATGCCAAAAAGGGTTTACAATTGCAACTGGTTGAGACACCACTTCTTACAAGATACAGAAACAGAAAACAGTCTGTACATGAACTACTGTTTCAGTTGTAATAAACAAAATTATTTTTTATTGCAACAAGGATACATCTTTTGATATGGCTTCTCCGTTTTAATGTGCTGCTAACATTTTCCTACAACAAGTGATAAAAATAAATCTGTTATTTTGTTACAGTTATGGTGAGTCCTGGGACTTACACATGTATCTTGTGAAAATGCATCGAGTCCAAAACCAGTGAGTTCCAGTTCAAAAAACAATGAATCCTAAATTGAAAATGCTTGAGCTTTTATGCAACCAGACAGTTAATCTAAAGACAGACTCCAAGACTCTGTATTACAGTATACTGAAATTAAGATACATGCATAGTCCTTCTATTTAAAGCATAACAAAGCTAAATGAAATATACATTATTAAACCAGAACCAAAATAACTGCCACAGAAATAACATAAACAGGATATTCTACAAAAACTAATCTTCATATCAAACAACAGTTGTTACTGTTCTCAGCATCCTATGGGATGCATGCAATGAATTAATTTGCATTTTTGAGAATTTTTATGCATCAGGGATGCAGGACACAGAAGTAACAATATCACTGTAAAATGCTATTATTAGTATTTCCTGTCACAGCAACAACAGGAAAACAAAATCTAAATGATGATTTTCCATCATAAAGCTAATGGCAAAAAATTTGTTTACCTCTCTAACTTTCGTTACTTCAGCTGGCATAGGACCAAATATCTGTCTAATGTCTGATCTGTCAACACAAAAATCAAAACATGATAAAATGCCTTTTAATATAAGTTGTACTTCAAAACTTTTCTAAATATTAAAAATTTTAGCCTGCAAACGGCAGACATTTCTCCTCGCTCATCACCGCTGAGGGACTTTTCGCGAGGAGGAATGTCTGCGACTTAGCGACAGAAATTCCATACTGGCGACGTAAATCAATGTTTACTTAATAAATCCGGTAGTCATGGGTTCCAAATGCAAATTTGTCCAATTTTATGTTTCTCCTGGTCAATTTTGGAAAAGTGTTGTGTTCATCTGCAAATGAGCTCTAGCAAAACTCAAATGCTTCTATATTCCACAAATATGGACTGTTTTGTTTTAGGGATTCATAACGTTTACATTTTGACCTTTACCACCTTTTGTCTTTTGTCTGTCATTCGTAAACAATAGCTAGAACAATGAAACTACTCCGTTGACCAATTAGCGCTTCTGACCGGATTCCGGACAGATTTTGCGTCATTAGTATGGAATTTCTGTCGCTGAGTTGCAGACGTTCCTCCTTGCGAGACATAAAACACTCTGTTTGCCTTCTAAACTTTGAATAAACCAAGAGCATTCGAAAACAATTACTGATGCCAAATTTGGGGTGCAAACAGAGTGTACATGAATAATTCATGTATGATTCAATAGTCAGTTTACACCAAAGTGGAACCATATTTAAAAACTGTTTAGATAAAAAACATGGTTTAAAAATAATAATATTTCCTTCATAAAAGCTGTTTACAAATTTTTGTCAACAACAAATAAGCACAAAAAAACCACAAGTGAATTAAATCCTACAACGTATGTGAAAGCCTGTACAGGTAGTTCTTAATTTAAGGTGTGAAAAAACAAGCAACAAAAAAACACACAACTTGTCCTGCAACACTGCGGCAAAATGAGTTGAATAGCGATGCTGCACATTATTTTTACCACCCACATCAAACCTGTCTTGCAATAAATCAAGTTGTTAACAGATTTCAACGTGGGCGATAAAACGCACAGCATCGCTTTGCAGCAGTGTTGCAAAACAAGTTGAATGTTAGGCCCGACTATCAGCCGCTGTCCAGGAAATGAGCACACACTCCTCCCCGAGAGAGCGGCGGAGATCAAGTTTAGTTGCATGTTTTTGTCGCCCATTTTACCAAAGCTTTAACTAAACATGCTTCGTTGGAAGCATGAATAGTGCTTAAGTCAGAAATACAAAATGTACAATATTATTCAAACCTTTGAGATTGCCCTCTAGCTTCTCTTTGTGTGTCTACTGCCTTGTTCATTGCTTCTGGATCAAAATTGTGTCCTTGCTGGGAGTACTAATAATTTAAGAATATGGAAGCAAGTTTCAGAGAAGCATGGAAAACTTCCTTCAAAGAACAGTGCACATACATTTTTGAATACAGTAAAGTGTTAATTTGAAATCTGAAAGAGTGAAAATTGCAAAGGCAAAAGTAAAGAAATGTTTTATGGGGAAGTATTTCAATCAACACTTGGACAACCCTAGTGTTATTTTAGGAGAAATGTTTACATAGATCTCTTGAACTAATTTATTACGACCATCCAAACATGCATAATTTAAACTTGTGTAGCAGGTAGAGAATCAGAAGCTAAAGCCATCAACAGAGTCAAAACAGGAATGTATAGTAAATGTATACGTATGGAGCTGAAAGGCCCCTGTCCACACTTACGAGTTTAGGCCTTCTGTTCACACTAATATGCTGAGTGTTTTCACTGAAAATGCATCAATTTGAAAATGCTCTTGAAAGTGGATCAAAACAAAAATGCATACACACTGACACACATGTACATATCATATTCGTGTGGATGGTCAAAAACAGTCGAAAACACATGAAATGAAAATGATGACTGACACTATCACAGGTAGGTGTGTTTGTAGCAAATGCATAGAGTTCAACTTACATCATACTGTGCAATTCTTTTGTTTTCAAACATGTTAGTGTGAACAGTCAAAAGGATTAAAACAGTTGTGTGGACGCGAATCGATCAATGAGTTTACAATGAGAACCAAAATGCATACTTTTAAGAACGCATTAGTGTGGGCATGGCCTAAAGCTTCCCTAAATTGGTCTAACATTATGTTAATACAACTATGATGGTGAAATGGGGTTTAAGTGAAGAAGCATTCTCTGATCTCACTCTTATCTACCCAGCCCTGGATAGGAGGTTTCTACTCAGCAATAGAATTCAGGCTTAAATAAAAAAATTAACAATATAGCTACCGTTAAAATATAGATTTGCCCTTCAAACGCGAAGAATTGGAAAGAATTTTGGGTGCACAAGAACTAACGGGGTGGTTTGTAACATAGAAGTTAACACTACTATTTCACTGATCGAGCGAGAACTCGAGTTTGCGCACATGTCCACTTTTCCACCGCTGTTCTAAGCCAAATTATCCACAAACTCACAACCTGACTTATTATTCTTCACGTTAGCTTAGGCGCGAAATACTCGTGCAAATGTAAGCCACAGAAAGCCACACACATGTGTCAAAAAACATGTGATTTCGTCAAAATACCTGCCAAATATAGTTGATTGTTGAATCGCCAGCGTAGAATTCTGAACTTTGACGTTGTGAGCCAGATGACAACCTACTTCCTTTCCCATCTCTCGATTCCATTTTGATTGCTTTGAACCAAAAATCCAGAGATTTTAAATCAATTTACTTCCCCTGCAAAACCGATCCTTGCCGCCATTTTCGTCTGTCTGGTGAAAACGAGGGAATCTGGACCGACTTGTGCTCAGTACTTTTCCGTAACCAATTCCGTAAAGAACGCCTGGTGATTTTTATCTCCTCGTGTTTTGTGGTAGTGGCATGACTGGTGTAAGAAGGAAGAAAGCACAGCGAAAAAGGCGAGTAAATACCACTAAAGTCGGGTCAAAAAGAAAGAAGAAGGACAAAAAGGTGAAGGTGTTAAAGTAAGTCAATTTTCTTTCCTGAAAAGAGACAATTCGCCTGGGTATTTTCTAGATTGGATTCGAATCCAGATGGTCGCCTTGCGCGCACGCACAGATGTCCCAACAGATAATTTTCAACATTTTGTATTTTGGATAGTTTTCTTGTGGCTGCAATTTCTTACTGCCTATTTCTAAAAAAAATTCAGTAAACAAACAGCTCAAAACCTCTGCTGTGCGCTTTAAATCGAATACTCGAGAGTTTTCTCGTCGATGTTGGATCTGGTTTTGAGGTTTTTCACACATACCATATACGGTATCTTTGCTGAACCTGTTGCAAGATAAGACCGGAAATTTCGAATGATGCTGTGAGTTTGACATGCACCCACTGAAATGTAGGAAGTTTTATCACGGCTTGTGGAGACATTCATGTATTTATTCCATGTCCTATGATTGCACTGCAGCCAAACGTTGCGTAAGAACTGGGACCAGAAAAAAACACTGAAGCAGAATCTCCAAGATCTTGGCTTGGCATTTGATGCTAATAAAGCAGTGCCACTTCCAAAACAAAATGTTAAGGTGAGTTATCGGCATTATTAGATATAATAATAAGTTTTATTAATGTGTGTGATACAGTGGAACCCCGCTATGCATTTGCATCTAGCATCGCCAAGCAGTTTTTCTTTGAAAACAGGATTATTGTTACCCCACATTCTCACCCCAATGTCATCACTTTAACGGTACATTAAAATATTTTGAAGAATGTTTTTACTTTTTCTATGATATTTTTAGAGTCAGCAGTCGGAGGAAACTGAAAAAATGGAAATAGATAAAGAGCCAACACCTGTGATTAAAGGTATTGTTGAACAGGCAATATTTAATAATTTTGTTAACTAACCCACCGGTAGTTCATCAGTTGATTACATTTTATTGCTTATTGTTTCATTTTGATGTAAACCTTTTTGTGTTACTGTCAAGAGCACAAGCATTTCTGAAACCATCCAAAATTAATAAAATATTATTATCGTGGTATTTTTTTTATTTATAAACAGCAGCATCTATAGCACACAAGCATTGAATTTTGTTTCCAAGAATTAAGTTGTGAGCAAACCACAATAGACCTCTTTAGCTTGTATGTTTTGTTTTCCCAATACAGGTCACGTAATAATACTCCAGAGAACTGTTTCTTTCAGATTCCGTCTTATTCACGTGCATATCTATGCATGATTTATGAAAAGACAATGGGTCAAGTTCCCATGGGACCTCTATTGGAAAAACAACACATACAAGCTGAAGAGGTCTATTGATTAGTATGTGTAATCAAATGGTGACGAGCGAAATTAGGGAATAATTTTACGCACGTTAATTATTCCCTAATTTCATGAGTATACCATTTGATTACCTATTAATATCATGGGTGACGAATTACGTTATATAGCAATCTTGGATTTTTGACATGTTTATCCTGGATCGTATCGATCAAGAACTCCACTCTCTCAAATGTTTAGACCTTAAATTTGGCTTATAAAGTTCAGAATTTTTCCGACTTTTTCGGCAAAATACCTGTTAGAATCCCTCTAGATGTTCTCTTGTGTGTTCAGGTTTTCTAAAGCGTCTTTTTGTGCCCTGATATCTTCATTCACAGCATTTTAAAACTTTGTCGCCATCTTGACACTGAGACGTACGGAAGGGTTGCCATGGCAATTTTGTAATTTCACATGTGAAATTACAAATTAACGCTGAAATTTCACGCCAAAATGAAGGAGTAATTCGTCACCTA